ACACACACACACACACACACACACACGTGTGTGTGTGTGTGTGTGTGTGTGTATGTTATATTGCTGATAAATAAATAAAGGGAGACTAGTATAGATCTATTTCAAGCTATTTAGCTCTCATCAGCTAGCTATTTAGCTCTCATCAGCTATTATATATATATAATTCTCTTATATAAAGATATATAAGTCTAAGTGCTATTGCTAACAATAAGGTTTATAAAAGTCTGCAGATTACCATCTACTTAATCAAATGCACTGGTGCATTGAGAAGAAAAAAATTCTCTACATACCAGAGGTGGTGATTGAGATAGTTGGGAATAGAATAGTGAAACCAGAGGACAGAAAGAAATGAAATTCAACACATAATATAAATTATATAGCCATAGAATCAGGAAGTTAATGGCTGGAATCCAAGCTTTCATGCATGGAGGTGTTTGCTCACTGAATGCAATAAGAAACTTTGCTTCCTATTTAATCCATGAAAAATCTATGAACAACTCTTGATGAATTCACACTTCATTTTGTGGCCGAAACAATCTCTTTATTTTGTGTTACTAGCCTTCTTCCCTTCATACACCACCTATGCATATTTCTTTTTTATTACAACACTCACTGTGTGCAATACAGTGGACTGTATTAGTCATCCTTGTACATTTTCTTCGTGATCCATGTGTAGATTCTGCTATTCTATTGGAAGGAGTCCTTATGTGCTACCACGACAAGTGAACATTTTGGACAGAATAATAATTTCCCAAGAGACCTACTGCTAACACATTTCTCCAACTCTGAACAGCTTGGCAATTTTGGCCTAAACCTTTTCATTTCTCCCATTTCAAGCCTGAAAAAAAAGCATGGGACTTACCACTTCCTCATCTGAGTGGTCAAAACTGATGTCAGATAGAATTGAGGTACCAGATTCTTCTATTGCACACATTCCCTTGGAAAAGTACATCAAAATGGATGCAAAATGAATATCCATCTATGTTTTATTTGTTTTCCCGTCCAACTTAAGCAGAGCTCGAATGAAAATTATAGAGTGATAAAATGCAATGAATAATGCCCTCCCTACTCAGGGCAGGAAACTTACAATACAATACAATACAATACAATACAATACAATACAATANTGCAAAAGAGACAATCAACCAGCCCAAAAGAGAACAAAGGGACTCCAGCACTTGTCCACCAATAATCAGCACTCAGATCAGCATACATTAACTTCAAGATTAACTTCAGACCAACAATCAAGTAAGCAATATCCCCAATGAAGAAACTGCCAAAGAGCCACCAGTAAACAGCCCAATTCAAGAATCACTAAGATTGCCTCCCAACCACACAGACAGGCAAGACACCAGAATATAAACTGACAGCAAACAGCACCCCTTACTAGCACTGATGGTGTTATCTAGTTAGGATAATGAAACGTCTGCAAGGAAAGCTCAGAGAGCACCAAGGACCCCTGACTGTAATAGTCTAGTCCACGTTTTTCAAACTGGGTAGGGTTCTATGAGAAGCTAAAGGGGGAAAAGGTTTAATTGAACACAGGGGCCGCATAGCAATTTTTTAAAAGTGAAAAGCTACCACATTCTGATCACTAAATATTGATTTGTTTAGTTAAAACATTAACCTTCAAGTAATTGGACATTCATGTCAGAAACTCTAATTCTGCATTGCAACAAATAGTTTACTTCTTATTCTCAAAATAAGTGGTTACCCTTTTGGAAGCAAATTGATGTTGCTGAAGCGGTGGCATTCCTGATGAATGAATGGAGGCACCAATAGTTCCCCCAGAGGTAGATCCAATGGTCTTGCTTCCAACTTGGCTATTTTGCCTACCAGATTCATCAGTGCTATTCCAGATAGAAGTGGGCTCTGTCAAGAAAAAGATCCCCATTCTGCATGAAGAATATATATATATATATATAAAAGCAGGGACCGATCCTTCTATTCTACTCATCTTTTTTCCAATACTTGACTGAACCATGAATTAGCCTATATTCCTACCTCGCATGGCATATTTCACCTGGGGTGGGGGGGAGACTTTGGGTTCAAGATTCTCCAGCTAAGACCTCAGTGGAATTGCTTAATATGGAGAAATCCTGGTTAAGCTGGAGATACTTCTCCAACTTTTCCCTTGAGCACTAAGTCTGGGAACACAGGGACAATTAAACTGCCAAACAGTAGAGAAGCAAGAGGGTAGACTGAATATTTGGCAAGATGTCAGCACACATATGACTGACTCCTAAGCAGGGTTTACACACTGAACTAAACCACAACCTTAGGTTTACAACCCATAAAGTCACACATGCTTTTTCATTGACAAGCAAATCCTTTTGGGATTGAATGACATACAGTATATGAATATAATCACAGATATGATTTCGAGTTTGGCTCCCCATTTCTCTGCTTCTAGCTCAGCTACATTTTCTTCCTTAAAAGATGCTTAAATAGCTGAAGAAAAGCAGAGAGTATAAAAAGGCTCTCTTGTGATGCAACTGCTCTGGATTACACCTGAACAGTAAGAGATTATAAACCTGCCCTTTCATATGCTGCCATTCATTGCTACAGTCCCTTGGAAACACCTATTAAATACAGGTGAGAAAAAGAAGGTAATTTTCTTGCATAATTGTTAAACCTTCTGCAAATGCTCTTTCACTAATCATACATATTCAGTTTCAATATGGGTGACCACAACACCCCCTCCCCAAGGAAACGAAGGGGGAATGGACACCTGGGTGTGTGGAAATCGAACAGTTCAGCTGGGATTGACAATGGGATACTACAGAGCTGGATGATAAACCGTGGGCAAGGCTTCTTCTCCCACCAATGGCTCTAGATCTTGAGGTCACCAGAGGTAATTCCTTCACCTGGCAAGAATTGGAAGAGAGGAAAGGAAAGAAGGAAGATATGGAGGGAGGGAAAAGAACAGATAATAATCTTTTCAAATCGGAATGCAGATCCTTATATACATATCATATTTTATATGGACAGAAATACAGGATTGGGTTTAATTTAATCAGTGAGATGTATAGGCTTGCAGGCCATAGTTGCACAACATGTTTACATATTAGTTCAGATTATGACATAGCAGAACTTATCCAAATAAGAAAGGCAAGGCTGTGCAACATGTATATGCAGGTAATGGCCTAATTAGAACTGACCAAATAAAGAGATAGGGCACAAACTAACAAGTGTGTATCTAAATTTAGTGGATGGGGTAGAGGAGAGGAAGCAGGCTGATAAGAGTCAGGAGCCAGTTCTTGGATTATCTTGGAGGAAGCACCAAGCTCTTATCGGGATAGACCAAATGGTTTCCAGAGAAATATATTGGTGATTGGTTGATGAGGATCAACCAATCATCAAGCTTGATGCTGAATGATGGCCTTTATAGCTTAGTGATCATACCAAACAGGACTTAAGAGGGCTATCATTTTTGCTTGTTCCTTCCCTATATTATTTGACGTCTTATTTAAATTCCTGCTTTGCAATATCACATTATCTCGTTTCTTTGCACAGCCATTCAGTGAAATAGCAGGTTTAAGTTGGTAATGGCAAGAATAGCAGCATACATCTTGAATACCTTCTCACTCATGCATTGATTGATGGATACGTACGTTGTTAGTAAATGCACCAGAATGCTGTGAGTGTTTGGCTGCTACTGCTGGCTGAACCAGGGGAGCCAGGGAGAAACGCTGGAAGAAGAAAAAAGTGTAAGTATGAAAGCTGCATAAGGAAGTATAAATATTTTTTGTTTCTTCTAGCCCACAAAACATTGGTAGGTGAAAAAATCAGTGTAGATGTCAAACTTTTCAGAGATTTGAAGTTAAAAAACATTGTGGTTGCAGATGTGTAGATGTATAAAATTCTGCTTCCCCCTGTCCAGCAATAGTGCGCTTGTAAGCTGCTGAGAGTTGTTTCATTGTGGCAGGAGACAAGACAAACAAATATTCTACCATGGCATTTTCACTTACCACTCTGTTTTTATTTTTGACAGATCTGATCATCTTCATATCCTTGAAGACAAACAAACAACAAACAAGCTTGAGGGAGGACATGGAGGTACTGGTATGTCATTCACAATTTACTTACAGTAACAATAATTTCTAAATAAACCCTTCAAATTTTGTTTTACACCATATATGCAGCATTTTAGAAGCACACAAAGATTCTAGCTACCTACCATCTTCAGACATAGATCAATTCCCTAGTACATTCATTGACTCTAAATGGAACCAATTGCTTCCAATGGCTAACATACAAAAGATAAAGATTCCCCTCGCACATATGTGCTATGTTGTTCCCGACTCTAGGGGGCAGTGCTCATCTCCGTTTCAAAGCTGAAGAGCCAGCGCTGTCAGAAGACGTCTCTATGGTCATGTGGCCGGCATGACTAAATGCCAAAGGTGCACGGAATGCTGTTACCTTCCCACAAAAGGTGGTCCCTATTTTTCTATTTGCATTTTTACATGCTTTCGAACTGCTAGGTTGGCAGAAACTGGGACAAGTAACGGGAGCTCACACCATTACATGGAGCTAGGGATTCGAACTGCCAAACTGCAGACCTTTCTGATCTACAAGCTCAGCATCTTAGCCACTCAACCACTGCGTGACCATGTACATAGCCATATACATAGGTGAGGCTTAATTTAAGAAACATTACACATTCTGGAAGCCTCATTAAAAAATTGTTTTTAATTTTTATTTTCTGGAGTAATAACTGTATTGAATAAGTATAGTAATATTTATTTCATTTCACTTTGGCAGCTTACATTAAAATTATGTTGTTAGATATAACTTTACAGTGAAGAACACTGGAAATTAAAAGTGTGGGGCTCAAATAAATCAGTTGGAAAATAAAATTATTTTTCGATTCTTAACATACCAGCCTCATAAACTCTTCCACCAACCTTACTTTTCCCCCATACCTAATCTTTGACCTTCTTTTCTTCAATAGATACATGCCAGTTTATTTGACTTACAGTTATAAGGGAGAAAGATTTGGATCATCATATTGCCATATTTCATATATTTGGATAGAGATCCGAGATAGAATTGGCAGTGCAACAGATCTTGTAGATTAGTATCATAATTAGTATCAAGCACTATAGCAAAATTCTCAGATCTGGTTACCTTTCTTACATGTAGAATAAAGGACCTTCCTCCTGGCCACATTAATGGGAATTCCTGCAGTTCTTGAACTGGCAGAAAATTGCATCAGTATAAGTGAGAGTTCCTGGTTCAGAGATGCTCTGTGCCAGCCACCAGTACTTGAAACATTTCTGAATAAGATCTTCTGGAAGGCAGATAAACCCCATTTGAAAAATTTAGCCTAGCTGCTTAGTCGAAGGACAGAGATGGGGTGTGGAATGAAGTGAGAGGGAGCTTGCAGGCACAGAGAACCAGATAACCACACCAATCTCCTCTCCCACTATTTAAGTCCATCAATCAAATGGATTCTTTTTGGAGACAGATTTACCAGTCTTTAACAGAGGTTTCAGAAATGGACCAAGTGACATGTCACAGAGACAATGGGGAGATTACCAGGAGCATGAGGGGTATACTTTCTTCTATTTCACACCAGGGCCTTATATTGCACCTGAAACATCTTCCTCGAGCTGGAAGAAAATCTGGCAGACTTTTGTCAATTTCAACCCAGATCTTGACTACGCCAAATCTCTAGCTGCTAAAAGGGAATAGCGGGACCCATAAATGGTTGTGTCCAGGGACATCTAGAAGTATGGCATGGAGCAGCAAAATGGTATTCACTCCCAATAATAAAAACAGCAGAAGGCAGAGCCACACAAAAGCCCACAAAAATTTTGTTAGGTTGCTTTCATCCAACATCGAAGTCTTGTGGCATCAAAGTCTTGAACCACTCAGAGTTGCTAGTACTTGAGCAGCTTATACAACAACTGTGCGCTGTGGTGGCACAGTGGTAAGAATGCAGAACTGCAGGCTACTTTTGCTGACTGCTGACTGCCTGCAATTCAACAGTTCGATTATCACCAGACTCAAGGTTGACTCAGCTTTCCATCCTTCTGAGGTCGGTAAAATGAAGACCCAGATTGTAAAATGAAGACCAGATTTAGTGTCACAACCCCTGGTAAGCCCCAATTATGGGAGGAAGCTAACTGCTTCCATTGTCTGTCAATCGGCTCGTCACAAGAGTCCATCACGACAGAAACCCAATATTTTTACTGTTTCCTTTGTTATATTTTTATTTGTGCTGATAAATAAATAAACTCCCTTTATTTATTATTATCTCTCTTTATTTATTTATCAGCACAAATACAACACAAATGTAACAAAGGCAACAGTAAAAATATTGGGTTTCTGTCGTGATGGACTCTTGTGACGAGCCGATTGACAGACAATGGAAGCAGTTAGCTTCCTCCCATAATTGGGGCTTACCAGGGGTTGTGACATTATGTATGTATGTGTGTGTGTGTGTGTGTGTGTATGTATGTATGTATGTATG